CGGCGGATTTACCTAAGTGCTTTTTTCACTTTTGGTGACGTGAACCTGTTTGCTCTGAACATCCACTGGTGCTGATGTTTCTACAGTATATATTTAAAATACTGTGTAAGTGATTTGGTCTTTGACGAGAACACAGGATCACTTTAGCTATAGTTGTCAGAATATTGGCGAGCTGATAACCTGTGATTCATAGATGAATTAAAGTCTGGATTTATATAGGAACTGTGCCTACAGGTGAAACTCGAATAATTAGAATATTGTGCAAAGTTCATTTATTTCACTAATGCAACTTAAAAGGTGAAACTAATATATGAGATAGACTCATTACATGCAAAGCAAGATAGTTCAAGCCGTGATTTGTCATAATTGTGATGATTATGGCTTACAGCTCATGTAAACCCCAAGAACCCCAAATCCACAATCTCAGAAAATGAGAATATTACATGCAATCAATAAAACAAGGATTGTACATAGAACAATATCGGACCTCTGAAAAGTACAAGCATGCATATGTACTCAGTACTTGGTTTGGGCCCCTTTTGCAGCAATTACTGCCATTACTTTTGCACGATATTCTAATTATTCGAGTTTCACCTGTATATAGTGACTGTGTGCCAATGGCATTGTTCATCTGAAATATGACATCAATCAAGTGTTTTGTGTTATAGTATAGTCTGCATTTGCTTTTTTTATCACTATAACTGTTACTTTTTTAAATGATCAGAAAGACAGAGAATGTTTATAAACATAGCCTTTATTTTGGTGAAATCATTCCAAATCTCAAGGATCAGGTCAATTGTAAGTAAATGTTGAGTTTGAGTTTTAAATATACATCATTGTTCGTGGTGATGTATTAATCTGCCTGACATGAAAATCAGTTTTTGCAATTTGTAGCAGTGAAGGTTAGTCATACTCCTTATTACATTCCCCTCCTTCGTTCCTTATACCCTAATTTATCTCCACCTCTTACATAAGCCTGAAAGAGTCATAGCTAGAAGCAGAACAATCTGCTAATTTATAGCACTCACTCTTTTCAGCGAAATGGTGCAAAGACGGTCTGGCCGGGGTTGTATGGGGCTGAGACTGAAGTAATTAGACGCATGTTTCAAGTAGCGATGACTGTTCCTTCGGCAACCAAATGATTCCACTGCAGCTTTGTAGAGATAAAAAGTTAAAGGCTTAGACAATTTGATGTGCAAAGCTCAATGGGGTACGCTAGAAAGGTAAAGCAAGTCCAATCTGATGTCTAGCAAAAGTTGTATATATATTTGCACATACATTTAAAGAGAGAGAGAGAGAGAGAGATATTTCTATATAAGATAGATCGATAGATAGATAGATAGATAGATAGATAGATAGATAGATAGATAGATAGATCTGTATATATAGTAATGTAGTAATATTTGTAATAACTTGTTTAGTGTGGAGAACCACTGATGTAGACTTTGTTAAAAAAAAAAATGTCCATTACCTTCCTGAACAGATGACCGCTTTCTTAGCAATCATCATAAACATTGAAATAGATCTGTTTCAAGTAAAGTATATGACGATTACATATATGTGTAAACCAACATGTGAGAATAATAGCTGTGTTTAATTTTATGCAAAATAATTACAATGACATTATTCGGTAACTGTTTATTACCTTTCTTTTTTAGATTGCGGGTCGAAGGAACGACCGTCACAAAGCACAGACAAAGGCAAGCCTGATCCAGCTTGTTCAGATTTTGTTTGTTCTCAAGATCATCTTTTATCCTGCCCGCAAAATACTTCCACCATTGAGCAAGAAAGATTCAATCCAGGTATTAACCCTTTGCGAAGTTTATATATTATAGGGCCCTTCATGGTGCACATTGCTAGTTTTAATATGTGTGTATAAATAACAGTTTGATGTATCTGCAGCAGATTAAATATTGATTATGCAGTAAGTGTGTATGTATGTGTACAATAGGTACTGTATAGGGGGTATGTGCAACAGGTCAAATAATAAATATACAGTAAACTGTGTATGTATATGTACAATAGGTGCTGTATAGGGGTTATGTACAACAGGTCAAATATTAAATATTCAGTCAACTGTGTATGTATATGTACAATAGGTGCTGTATAGGGCGTATGTGCAACAGATCAAATATTGAATATGCAGTACCTGTTTATGTGTATGTATAATAGGTGCTTTATAGGGGTATGTGCAACAGATCAAATATTAAATATGCAGTAAATTGTGTATGTATGTGTACAATAGGTGCTGTATAGGGGTTATGTACAACAGATCAAATATTGAATATGCAGTAAAGCGTGTATGTGTATATGCACAATAGGTGCTATATCGGGGTATTTGCAAAAGATTAAATACTGCATATGCAGTAAAGCATTTATGTACAGTAGCGTACTGTATAGGGGTGAGTGGTTTGTCTGTGTGTGTACTTGGTGTTAATATCTATTGGATAGATACCGCGATGGGTTGCTAATTTTTGTGTTCTTTCAAAAAACACTAACTGTTGGTCTTAGATTGTGATTGGAGGAATAAAATTAACACTGAACAATGAACAGACATACCTGGGAGAATTCACTGTATGTCTGGGTGAATGTCTTAGTACCATGGAAGTATTAAAACTCTGCCCATCTTCATTTGAAATGTTTATAATCCAGATATGAGTTACATGGACAGAATACAACTGACAGTTAAATAACATTCAATTGTACATCTAGAATTTACAGCAAGTTCTGTAAGCACATAATGGAGAGGGTGCATAATGCAATGACCAGGTTAACCTTTGCCATACCATGACATTTATGAAGATTATATCTTACTTTCTTGACTTGTAAATTTATTGAAATGTTACTTTTAACTGGACAAATGCCAGGAACCAGGTAGCCACTGCTCCTTAAAAATAACAGCTGGCACCTAACTTTTGAGGTATTCTCTAGTTTTTGTCAATGGAGCTGGCTCCTAGAAAAAAATCTGCTGGCTTCTGGATTGGACAAACTGGCTCCTGAATTCTATATTAATTTGCCTACCTCTGTTTTATACTGAAAGTTGCATATCTTAGATTTCTTTTTAAATTTCTTGAATCAAAATAATGAAAAATGTTCTTGCAAGAAATTGTTCTTGCGAGAACTTTGGCAATTTAATAGAACAAATATTTAAAATCCTTTCCACGTCTCCCTCCCCTAATTGCACTGGACACAAGAGACCCTTCAGTTTGTGAGAATCAATTTGTACAATTCAGCTCATTACATATCTTGACAGCACAAACCGTAATATTTGTATTATTACCTAATTACACGGCTATTATTCTTATCTACTCTTTCTAAAAAGCAGTAAAACATATAAACATTAAAGTGACATTAAACCCTCAGATTTTTTAACATAAAACAATACTGTAATGTGTGCCTTACTGTAATCCATGGTTGTTTCCCTTCTCTTTGCTGCTCTTACTTTTAAATCTGTATCTGTTCTCATGCTGGGCAGAACTTCTGTTTTGCAGCAGACTGCCTTGTGTCAGGAATGGATGTATGGTGTCTGTGTATAGGTTTGTAACCTGAGCCAGCACTACAGGAAGAGGCCCTGAGCTGCAAAGGGAAGTTCTCCCCAAGCATGAGAAGACATGAGGATTTAAAAGGAAGAGCAGCAAAGAGAAGGGAAACTACCATGGATTACAGTAAGGCACACATTACAGTATTGGTTTATGTGAAAAAATCTGAGGGTTTAATGTCACTTTAAATCAGGCTACTATCCAGAACCATTCACTTGCCTGTCCATGGAAAAAAATATTTCTTACATTACCTCAACAAACATAGAGCTGCAAAGACTCTCTTAGACCAGAAGTTGTTAGGTAGGAGCTATATACCCAGGAATTCAATAAAAGCATTAAAAGAATGGTGTTCATCACATTTACTAAGCTGAAATAAAATGTCTTTGCAAAGTGAACAGCCTCTTTGCTTTTAATAAATCATCCCCACTGCATCTGATCCTCTGTAAAAACGAATTATCACGGATTATGACTTCAGCCTAAGGTTTGTAGTCCCTGTGAACAATAGAATAACAAGACTCTACTGCTAAAAATAGCTCATGATATATATCATGAGCTAAAATAGAACTCAATTGGGCAAAAAGAAAGATGATCACAAAGTTTTAAAGCAGACATGGCCTTTTTCTATTTATTTATTTATCTGTCTATATAAACAAGCAGAAACAAGCAGAATTTAAAATAAATATTATAATTTGCTGTTAAGCGTTGCAGCTGACCATTCTGCCTCCATACACATTAAATAAAGTGTGTAACGTTTCCAAACATAATTTAAACAGCTCCTTCTTGGGAGCTATTGAACATAAAGTGATGAATCAAAATGGTCTCAGTCAGTCCTTGGTAGCATGTACATCTCTGTGCTGTGTGCATGTCACATGCAGTCTAAGTCTGGCTATTAATGATGATGGATTTAACCCCTAGGGATGGGCCTTCATCATGGTGTGCATGTACCTGGAGATGGTTATCCCTTTCTTATGTAACCTTTTTTTTCTATTCATAGAGGATTGTCAGCATTAAACCCAATGTACTTATTTCTCTCAACATAATATATAATATATAATCTGCATTTACAAATATAATTCTAAAGTACATATCTGAAAAAATCTAAACGTAACAAGGTGAGGGTAATAAAGAAGATATGGAAAATAACAATAACAAAATAATTTGTTAATAAAGTGAATACTCAAAGTAGGCATCTTTGTCCATTTTGTTCATTATATCATGAATAGACATTTAAGGGCTCATCCACACCATCCAGCTTGCTTTAAGGTGTACATAAAGCAAGCACTGGTGTGTGTCATGCACAGATGCTGCAATACATTGTAAAACACATCACAATCTCAATACAAATTAGTAAACTAAACGTGAGATTGTAGTGGTGTCCACTTTACAACACACACAGGAAACATGGGGAACAAACGTAGCCACCCTCCAGAAGGAAGGACAGTGTCAGCACCAATTCAGAGATGATTTAAAGGAGAACTATGAGGTGGGTGATTTACACTAATTCTCATAGTTAGAGCCGACGCATGACATTGAAACTGCCACACATCAGCTCTATAGATCGGAAAGTGAGCGAATACATACCGTCGCTTGCTCACTTCCCGATTATCTCCCTGCAGAGAGCAATGACTGTCAGTCACCACTCAATGCAGGGATTCCCCCCTCCCCTCTCCAATCCTCCAGAGCTTTAACATTGCAATGCCTTATAGCACATCCAAACACGCTGCGCAGAAATGCAACAGATACTTTTCTTTTCAGTGCACACCAACATGGCACATTGGTGTGAACTTAAACAGCAGGACATAAGGCCTTGTTTATATGTTGGGACTGTGTTGGACAATGCTGCCCAACGCAGTCCAGTGGTGCTGTTGTCAACAAGCTTTTTAAAGAGAAGGTAACAGTGTTATCAGTGCTTATAATTTGTGTATATTAAATGTGTTCAGTAGCATTATAGCCCTGATAAGTTTGTTTGATCAATATAACAAAGTGCTGTGATTGTATTACAAGAGCAAGTATTCCTTTACAGGTGAAAAGGAAGATACAAAAAGTGGAGGCTGTCTGTTTAATAGTGCATCATAGGAACACATTTAGTTGTATTGTATAAGCCCAGTGGGCTTAGTTAGTTGCACTTTTTTTGGGCAAACATCTTTATTTACCTCTCTGGCAACTCATTTCTTATTTATCCTCCATTAGGAGAAGCCTCGTGATACTGTGCAAAATTGGCTGTGGACTTTTTAATTTTTTGACAAACTAATACTAGCTCCAAGTTAGGGGATGTTCTTACTTTGTTTTCCCATGATGTTGTTTGTTTTGAAAAGGGCACTTTTTTTATATAATATTTTTCAACAAGGATAATCAATGAAAACATACATTTTGAATTGTATATTTTCAATATTAGTAAAGGACTAAGTTTATGTACATATTTACAAATGGAGTAATGTTCACATCTAAACATAATAAATAGCTCAAATTCTTCTTGATAGTAGTAGCAGAGTGTATTTATGGGACATGCTTCTTGCTAAAAGGTTCAGAGATGCCTCGCTTTACTGTTTATGGACCAACTATTTTTTTTATTACTTTAACCATAGTGAGCATTTGCCATTTGTTTCTGTAAATTACATTAATTCTAGTGTGAACCTTGTGTAGCTACCACCCTAACAATTTAGAGCTCTGCCCTTTTTTTCTTCTGTTGTCATCCATATACAGGGGAGCTCTGATAAATGTTCAGCATACTTTTGATTGTTGTACCAATATTTTTGGGAGTACCCACAATTTCTCAACGACTTGGTCACTTGTCTTCATTCTTTCATAAAATGGATGGTTTAAATTCAGTGTGTTCATATAATCATCTGGTTCCTTCTTGTTCTCCTAACCAGAGTGTAATAAGCTTGCAATAGTAATACTTACCATACACCTCAGTGACCCTTCAACTGAGGTGCATTCATGTTTAAGGCCCCATTCACATTGAGAGTTTGTCGTGCGATTGGCATTTTGCGCAATATCGCAAAAATGTTTGCATTGGGCTGAGTACAATCGCGCGACATCTGCTCCAAAAAAGGGTCCTGCACAAGCAGCGCGCGACAGCCACGAGCACAGCTCCATTGACTTGCATTGGAGAGCGATATCGCATGGCAAATATGCGCAATATCGCGTGGAAATCCGCGCAATAAAACGCTCAGTGTGAATGGGGCCTAAGTTGAGGTATTCGTTGTTTTTTTGGGGGGAGTGTTTAACTATGAAAATTAATACACATTTTTGTTAATTACAATTATAAATCACCTCACTACAGTTTAGTAGTGTAAATCTCTACTTGCTGATGGGTATTGTTGCTGCTGAGTGGATTTGCATTGTGTGTAATGGGTAAGCTTGGATCCAAAGAAGTGTTTTTAATTGTTTTAGATAAGCTTTGTTACCTACCTTTAGCCAAAAACTATGGGTCGTTCAAATAGTACATCAAAACGCAGGGAAAAAAAACAGCCATTAACTTTACATATTTATTACAGGATTTTGTATCTTGCCTAATTTTCTACTTTCATTTAATGTCTAGCAATTGTTTTTGGGTTTTTTTTAATTCAAAAACTTTTATTGAAGACGTCAGGCAATACAGTAGAAATACAGTACACTATAAGTAAAGTCCGAACAATCAGTCTTACAGAAATCTTCCAACTGTCAACGTAAATAGCCACGAAAATTAACAACAATCCTACAGGCATATAACTAGTTCCGCATCAATATCAGGGCTCCATCGCATAATGGGGTAAATACTTGGTGAAGAACTCTAGGGGGAGCCATGTACCTTAAGCATCTTAGGGCAGCTAAGCAATGTCAAGGTTAATGATGTATGACTCTACATGTAACATCCACTGCCATATTGTTAAGGGCTGCTCTGTGGCCTTCCTGCCCTTCATGTGCACAACTGCTGGAGTATATGAACAGGTTATGAAAAAGGGAGAGCAGCGAAGGACAGAGCAGTGTGAGCGGGGATGGGGAGAGAGAGCAGAAGCAGGAAAAGAAAGAGAGGGGTGGGGTCGGGGAGGGAGGGGTTAAGACCCCCGTACCGGGTCTCCCATGCCATCCGTCCCCAGCAAAGTCAGTCGGTCTGGGCATAATTCATTGGGTCATGTGTCGGAGGTAGCCATCTGTATACCTGAAGTAGACCCACGGTCTCCAAGTAGAGTTAAACCGCTCCTCAGTGTTTTTCAGGGAGGCAGTCAGGTCTTCCATCTTATAGGTGTCGTTCACCCTGGAATACCAAAGCTGTATAGAGGGAGGTTGAGGAGACTTCCAAAGCAGTGGGATACAGGCCCGCGCTGCGTTCACAAGATGCACCGTGAGAGAGGATTTGTATCTGGCCAGAGAGCGTTTGGGCATGTGCAATAGGCAGGCGGCCGGGTTGTCGTGCAGGTCAACCATGGTCAGGGAGCTCACCACCTCGGCCACAGTGTTCCAAAAGCTGCGCAACTTTGTGCAGGACCAAAAGATGTGCAGGAGAGTCCCCGGAGAGGCAGAACATCTCCAGCACATAGGGGAGATGGAGGCGTCAAACTTATTCAAAACGGTGGGCACTCTGTACCAGCGCGTGAGAAGTTTGTAACCAGCTGCCTGATAGTTGTTTGCCATCGAGGTTTTGTGTGCAATAGCTAGCACATTTGCCCTTTGCTGGGGGGTGAGTTCCACGTTCAGGTCAGCTTCCCATTTAGCCAGGAAAGGGGGGGCATAGTCCTGTGGGTGGGAAGTCAGTAGCGCATAGATGGTGGAGACAGCGTGTCTGGATGGTGAATCTACCCTGAACTGGTGTTGAGAGGGCAGGTCAGTCAAGTCACTCAAGGCAGGACCCCTAAGCCACTGCGAGGTGAATCGAAAGTCGATCATCCTGAACTTGTCTGAGTCTGAGGAGTCTCGCATTTTCATAGCCCGGGCGGAAATCGGGGTCGCCTAGGACCGGGGTGAGAGGGAATGGGGAGGGCGATAGGTTGGTGTTCCTCAGTACTCCTTGCCACCAGGATAGTGTTGTGAAGGATGGGATGTTGTTTGATCTCGGGGGGCAAGAGGGAGGCTAGCCACGGTAAACCCTCGATGGGGAACCGATAATCGGCCAGAAAGGGGGTCGTAAGATCCGCAATAAAGGTCTTATAGTAGGCCAACGTAAATCCGTCGGGCCCGGGGCCTTACCGGTGGAGGACTGTTTCGTCGCTGCAATCAGTTCCTCCTTGGTAACTGGGAGTTCCATCTGAGCCCTGTCGGCTGCCTGAGCGCCCCAAGAAGGACTCGATTGCCGCGGCGGGCGTGGGCGGGTTGGGAGGGTCGGGCTGTAAGTTATACAAGTTATCGTAGTAGGTTCTGAACTCGGTCGCTATGTCACTGGAAAGGAGTGCCATCCTTCCCGTGGAAGATTGAATACGTGGGATAAAAGTTTTGGTTTGCGGGGCCCTAAGGGCTCTGGCCAGTAGCTTGCCGGGTTTGTTCGAGTACTCGTATAGGGTACGTTTGCCCCGCAAAAGATGCTGTTTAGTTTTTGTAAATCGTTAAGCTCTTCCCGCACACGTACCAGCCTGCGATAGGTAAGGATGGCCAGTGATTGCTATTAACAAGGTAAGTATCTCACACGGCTATACATCACATAAATTTAAAAGTTGCACAACTGTTGCAAGCTGAAATGACTACAAATGTATATTTATATATAGAAATATATCTAAGATGCTGTCTTATAAAACAACAAAAGCTGTAAAAAAAAAGGCAAATGACATTTCAGTGAAACCATTATTCTTCATGCAGTTGCCTACTGCAGGAATATTTCGCTGCAGGTTTGAGAGATTCTCGATCATAGTTCTATAACATCAGACCCCACATTGTTATGTAAATTGACTGCATTAGATCTAGCACATCTTGCCTAATTAAAAATGTTATGCCCTGTGACTGAGATGAGCTTATTATTGGTAAAGATTATTAGTTCAGACATCCATGATAGGATTGCGGATCTGAAAGAGATATAGCTGTGTCGTTTCTTTCAGGAAAAATGCTATATAGACTCATCAGAATATATTTCAGGAAAAGATATGTAAAACAAGGATATCGTTTAAGTTCAGGAGAACATAATCCATGCAGACATACTGTATCTGGCTTATTTTGAGAGAAAGCAATAGTGATTGACCAGGAAAGTCCAATATGCTGACCAGTTTTCACCCTAAAAGAAGTATGCCAAGGGAATTCTAAAGAGGTTCATGAGTGCAACCAGATATACTGAAATGGACTCAGATCAACCGTCTGATGAGTATATGACTGTAATGTCTTCCTTATATTGTAAAGCGCTGTGCAAACTATATAAATCCTTTATAATATTAATAATAATAAAGTATCTGCTCCCGTCCTAATTTGTCATATACAGTGCACCGTAAGAATCACACAGACACAAGGATCAGGTCTATGATACTTCCTTTATTACGCTAAGGCACGAAGGTTTTTATAGGCAAGCAGCTAGTGCTGTGTGCAAAGGTCATGTCCAAGATTAGGTAAACTTCCTTCAGGATCCAAACATTGTCATCTTGGGTGTAGTCCCAGGAGGAGGCGCCATCTTAGTTTCTTGTTATTCACACGATGGGAGGGGGTGCAGCTAACGGCCATTTTGAGCAAGGAATAAATAGTAAGAGGATAGCTACACACCTATATACATTAGTAAGACAAATGGTCATTTTACTTTATTCCATAACAGTCCCCCCTTAAAATGACTATTTTACTCTGTCCCTAGGTTTTCCTAACTCATCTGTCTTTATGTGTCTTGGAACTTTTTTGTGCTGCACGTTAGACGAGCGATGGCTATCCCATCGCCCCCCTTGGGGCCCAACTGGTCTTCAATCCCCTGTAGGGCATCCCTGGTATAATTCACAAATCTCTGCTGGTTATAGTAGATGTAATTTATCCAATCTACATTCTTGTTTTGTGATGACCACCTCCTGGGCCCCCACCAAACTTAACAAAAAAAAAAGGATATATAGAGGAGAAGTCATGGTGTAGGCAACATTTGGTGTCTTCAGGGGTAGGGACCTTCTTGCAGTGGGAGGCGTGTATCCAAGTGGCTTTCCCGGCTACTTTCACAGAGGTGGCTGTAGTCAGCAGGACTTGGAATGGACCATCATATCTGGGTTCGAGGGAACGTTTTCTCACGAACTTCTTTACCAGTGCCCAGTTTACAGGCACTAGCCTGTGTGTGCCTGTATCTAACTCAGGATCTGGAATGGAAGAAAACACTTGAGGATGGATTTGGGTTGATTCTCGTGACAACGTGGTTACATAATTAGTTAACACATCAGATTGTAGTTGCAATTGTTGTGGAAAATAACAACCAAGTCTGGGGGATGAACCAAACAGGATTTCATAGGGGGATAGGGAGTGTTCTCCCCTTGGTGTGTATCTGACGCTGAACAGGGCAATGGGCAGACTGTCCGGCCAACTCATACCTGTCTCTTGGGCCATTTGCAGCATTCTAGTTTTTAGAGTACCATTCTTCTTTTCTACTTTCCCACTACTCTGAGGGTGATAGGGAGTGTGGAATGCCAAAGTAACCCCCAGTGCAGCCCACACTTCTTTGGTCACTGAGGCCGTGAAGGCAGGGCCTTGGTCGCTCTCTATTACTTCTAGGACCCCGTATCTGCATACTACCTCAGCTAGAAGTTTCTTTGCAGTGGTCTTGGCAGTCATGTTGGTTACTGCATAAGCCTCTGGCCAACCGGAGAACATATCCACAACCACTAGGGCGTACTCAAACCGCCCACTTCTTGGCATTTGGATGTAGTCAATTTGTATTCTCTGTAAAGGGTACAGCGGTTTTGCAAGATGCTTCTGTGGTGTCTTTTCTGTGCGTCCTGGGTGGCACTTGGCACAGATGGCACATGATCTGCAAAAGTTGTTTGTCAATGTGGTGATTCCAGGTGCTGTATAGTACTTGTTGATGAGAGAGTTCATAAGGTTCTTCGACAGGTGGGCTGCTCCATGTGCCCACTGGACCACTGCTGGATACAGACTTCTGGGTAGGCAAAACTTCTTGTTGCACTCAAGCAATCCATCCTTTAGAATTGCTCCCTTCTTCCAGGCCTCTTTTTCTTCTGGGCTTGCAGTTCCTTGAAGTTCCTTCAATTGGTCTTTGTTTGCTGGTAGGGTATGTAGATTCCACA